GGACAACCAATCGACCCATCAAATAGTCAACTAGGATGTGTGACACCCAATACAACAGTTACCTTACCCACAGCAACAGAACAATACGAATTACAATATAAACTGACCCTAAAAAAAAGGACGGCCAATCGACCCATCAAAGAAACCAATAGGATGTGTGACACCCAATTCAACAGATACCTTACCCACAGCCATATTAATCAGAACACCAACAACTACAATATAAACTGCCCTAAAAGACAGGACGCTGATATGTACATAGACCTAGTGGGATGCAAAAATAAGACAATTCTATGTGGACTTAGTGCGATTGTAATGTACATGGATTGCAATCCAAGTCCATTCCTATTTTAGGTCAGTTTCAGAAAAACTTTCTCAATACCAGACCACCCCACAATAACAGCGAAACTGCATAACATGCACATAAGGTGATAAACATACGTACGACTACATGTAACCCCCAAACCCTAAAACTCTAAAACGTACGACTACATGTACCCCCCAAACCCTGAAATCCTAAACCCTAAGTACTACATAGCTTCGTTTCCCAGGTATATATCTTTTATTGACGTTATAAGGAAATTGAGCGGGAGGGCCAATAATCCGGACATCAGTTAGCGCCGTCCCTTATCACACGCACAGTCATAGCCTAAGTGCACACTCAAAATCGGCCCAACTTTCCCTTAAGTTTTCTTTTATACGAATATAATAGTAATGTTGTATACTAATACAGTGACCGAACACACACCTGTGATTGTGTGTGTGTATGTGTGTGTGTGTGTGTGTGTGTGTGTGATAGGGCCACCGCCAATACAGTCACAGCATTGCTATATAAACACCTGCGCCTTCTCCACACTCGCGCTGGTCTCGTCGCAGCCACACCCTGCCTCCGTCTCTGCACTGGGCGTGTTAGTGTGTGTATGTGTGTGTGTGTGTGTGTGTGCACTCACTCCCCTTTCATCACCGGTTGGTTGTGTGCTGGTATGTGGAGGGTCGCCCAGAGTGTATGCTACACCGGTGGGCAATGGCTGGGAGTCGTTGCCATAGCAACCAACGTGGGAGTCCATCGTATCCGAGTTCGGTCTCTTCGCATTGGTGCCTTCGAAGGCGTATGGTATCTCTGCGACGAGTGCGATCAGATGTCAGGCGAGAGCAATGTTCAGTGCACGAAGGTATGAGCATGAAAACACT